TGGCGGAGCCGCGCTTGTACTGTATTTCAAAGTCGAAGGCAGACAGCGTCTCTATCCACCGAGCCAGTACGCCCGTAGGGCTGCGGAAGTTGTACAGCCACTGCAAGCTGGCGTGGTCAGTTCGAAGCCAGAATCTCTTGCCCAAAAGATAGTGCTTGAAATGGGCGACGAACAAAACGCACGCTAGGAGCTCTCTTTTTGTCGCCGAATAGTTGCGCTGTGCTTTTGACAATTTTTTACTGCCGTAGGCAATGACCTTTTCCCCCTCCGGCGTAATTTGCAGGAGCACCGCGCCCACACCGGTACCTGAGGCATCGCACTCGAGTATGAAGTCCCCCGCCCCTTCGTCAAATGAGGGGAGCGTAAGCACGGGCGCCTTCGTCAGCGACTGTTTGAGCCTATCGAAAGCCAACTGGCATTCTTCCGACCATTCGAATCGGACATCCCTGTACAGAGTCTGAACAAGGGTGTGCAGATGGTTGCATAGTCTTTAATGAACGCCTTGAAATAGTTACTAAGCCCCAGAAAGCTCGACATTTCCTTTGCCGTTTTCGGGACTGGCCAATCGACCACTGCCTGCACCTTGACAGGGTCGGGAGCTAGCCCCTCGCTGGACACTTCATGCCCAAGAAACGTGACCTTGGGCTGGCAGAACAGGCACTTAGCGAGATTCAGAGTCAGGCCTGCGTTGAACATTCGTGACAGCACCTCATCAAGATTGTCAATCATCTCGTCAAAGCTACTGCCACGGACTATGACGTCATCAAAATAGCAGAGGCATTTTGATGGGATGATGTCACCGAGGACAATATTCAGCAGCCTGGCACAGGTGAAACTAGCACCGCTGAGCCCGAAACACATGCGAGTGAACGAGTAGTTGTTCCAGGGCGTAGTAATTGTGGCCTTGTGCTGGTGATCAGGGTTTATTTTTACCTGGTATAGGCCATGTTCATGTCGAGCGTTGTGAACATAGTCGACCCTTTGAGCCCATCAAGCACATCGGCTATCTTGGGAATAGGGTAGGAGGGTAGGGATGTTACGGCGTTCAATCGCCGCATGTCACATACAACCCTAGCCTTCCCCGACCTCTTCCGGACGACACATATTGGGGACGCCCAGGATCCATGTGCCTCGACGAGCACTCCGAGGCGGACGAGCTCGTCCAGTTGCTCCTTCACTCTTTTTGGAGGTGAGGAGGGATACGACGGTGGGGCTGACGGACCGGGGGCGCTTCTCCGGTTTCAATATCATGCGTGACTAGATCGGATAGACCTAGGTGTCCGTCAAACATTGACTCGTAACGTTTTAAGACGGATATTAATGCGGCTCTTTGAGAATCAGTCAGCTTGGCCCCGTCCGTGTTCACTGTGTTATCAAAATCTACATTTTGTGCTGACCTTTCGCCGTCAGAGAGGTTATCGAGAGGCTCTTCAACATAATCAATTTCCAAATCACCGATGGTGGTGTGACGCGGAATCGTGATAGGTTCCGCAGTAAGTTTCTCACTATGCAATGGACCTTCCCGCTGCTGACCCGGGTCACTGCGGGCGCTGCCTGCAGCCCGGAAATGCTGAGGGACGGTTCGAGGATGACGGGTCCGTCGAACTCACACGAATGTACGTACCCTTGCAGCACCTGTTCCGACCCTGGTGGTATCGATATATCATGGCCAACTACCACTCGTCCAACCGATCTCACCTCCGCGCTGACTGATCGTACTGCCCCCAAAGGGACAAAGACAAGCTTCTTACTCACCAGGTCAATGATGCATGGGACTTGTTCCAGAAAATCTAAACCGATGAGACAGGGTACATCTAAGTCCTCTGCCACATGAAATCTTACCTGTAGATCATGACTGCCTATTTTCATAGAGATCTGGCATTGTCCTGCGAGGGGGAGTGGCTGCCCGTTTGCAACCTTTGCTACTGTGTGCGTTTTGTCGATGACAACCCCTTCTAATTTGCCAACCATTTCACGACTTATGATGCTTATACTCGAACCGGGGTCCAGCACACAACTGCATTGTGTCCCTGCCAACAAAGCATCAAATGACAGGTGATCCCCCAGCGGAATACTGTCACCAGCTGCCAGTACACTGCGAGTGCGGTATTCTGGCTCAGCCGCGGGAGTCGCCTGCTCCCCGTGTGCTGAATCGCTCACGTTTGCTGCGGCCTTCTGGATGGATGCCGGGGACTGACGTCCCGTATTTCCAGCTTCTACCCGTGGCGGTGACCGGCTCTACTGCGCCGGGAAGGCACCGAGAACCAGCTCTCACACGGTCGCTCTCGGCCGATTCGCCTGTCTTAGCTGCCGGCGCGCTCACTGCGAATGAATCGTCTGTTGCCTTAAGTTTGTCGTCACACACGCTGGTTAGCACCGACGACTCGCCACCATTCACCTGGGCGGGTCGTGCTGCTGAGCAGCTAGTCTGAGCTGGCTGCGAACGCTCAGCCCTGGCCGGGTCTCGTGTCTCATGCCGTTCGTTTACACGACTAAGTGGTGAAGAGTATTCGGGAGGCTCAAGCTGCACAGCAGTGTCTACTGCGCCGGATGAGGTCTGCTGGAAGAACTGAGAGTTCCAGAAGACGCGGCTTGCCCCCCGGGCTCCGCGTTTTTTGAACGGCACGCTGATCTGATATGCCCACGTCTGCCGCACCCGTGGCAGGTGGCTGTGCGATAGCGACGGGCCGCGCGGTTGTGTCCGCCACGCCCACACGCGTAGCACGGCCCGCGGCCGATCGACGCCTCTGGCGGCTGAGCGAAGCTCTGTGGGCCCGCCATTACCTGGTCAACTTTTGCCTCCAGTGATTCCAGGCGAGTTAGCAGTCGTTCGAGTGTCGCTTCCTCATCAATACGTCTGACAGGGACTTCGGGGGTAATATGTTGGGCTGACATGGCGGCCGCTCGGCTAGCTGCAACTATGCATTTAGTTTTGGCTACTGCCTGTTCAAATGACTCACATCCTGCTGCGATGACCTCAGAACGAATATTGACAGGGAGACTGGATAAGAAATATGTGAATAGGAGGCGGTCGTGGTTCTCTCCAGGGAAGGCGGCCCGCACGGCTGCTTTAAAACGGATCAAGAAGACCTCTACCGTCTCGCTTGGGTCAAAAGTCAGACATTGAAGCTTGGCGTGAGCTTCCACTACCCCCAGAGGCGCGAAACATTGACGGAGGGCATCTACTGCCAAGCTGAAACTTTGTCGCTGCCTTTGATCCAGGGATTCGAAGGCCTCTCTCGCGAGACCGGTGAGACATAGCGGTAAATATAGGAGCTGCTCGTTTTCAGGCCACGAGTGCAAGCTTGCAAAAATGTTGAAATCTGACAAGAAACGCGAGAAACTGCCGTCGCGTCCATTAAAGAGAGGGGGTGCAAATGAAAAATTCATACTAGCCATTGCGGCAGGGGCGGCCTGTGACGCGGTTGGAAAACGAGCAACTGGCGAACGGTCCATGCGAGTACGCCTAGACATGGTCCGATATCTCACAAATACAAATTCGATGTGACCGGCACACGATGCAGACGGGAGCGGCTATCTAACGTGAGCCTGCGCACAACGTGGGGCATGCATATTTTGATACTCTCATAACATGAATGGCATTCATGATAAATAGGCCCCACGTCAGAGATCAGAACAATAAGAGCAAAACAGAGATGACAACAAAACACACTCTCGTATCAACAGCAACGATGACCTTAATGACATTAACATGGCAACGCAATGAATAGTTTTCTAGATCAACTTTGTACGGATACGGACCAAAAGCTAAATGGTATGACAATTTTGAGTTCTTTACCGCTGCCACCACTGAAGACCTCCTCGAGGTAGGTACTTATCTGTAGACGGGCCGAGTGTTGTATTTCATTGCGCTGACGGTTCTTGAGTGAAGCTTTGAGAGAGCGTTGAACGTGCCAGAAGCACATGAGATAAAACGCTACCGTTCTTCATCTCAGGTGAGTTTATGCAGCGTCACCAATACGGCAGTAAGCACAATTCAGGTGTCTATGGCGCAAGACATTATGCGGTAACGACATTCATAGATCATACGTGTTTCTCAAATCTCTAGAAAACGTAATCAATCAATTCATGGCTTATCATGTCCTGATCCAGTCCAGTCTGCCCATATCATCATTCTCGCAACTGAATAATTGGCCTAGATTATAACCGCGCGCCATATTGGTAAAAGTGCCTCACCTTTCCATAATAATGTTTCGCCAGCAGGATGAACCTCCTACATATGTACTTGAATAAATGATGTAACTTACAATGACTATTAGTCTGGACGCCACACCCCCAAAGTTAGTCGAACGGCTGACTCGCAACTCATCTGATTAACGGTTTAGAATAAAATCGTAGTCAGGACATTTTGTGGCGCATTAGAGGGCAAGTTATCCAAGCGTGAAATGAGAAACTACACATTCGCCTAAGGACCAAGATGACATAGTTCGTTTTTTCTAAGTTCGACCCTCACTGTAATCGTCTCTTAGAACACAGCACGAGAATCGCTAGCTGAATTACTGAGAAAACTGGTTAGCGCACATTGATTTCACAGACGATTGATTTTATTCAAAATTATTTCTTCCTGGCTCTTATTTCCCAGACTCCTAGCTCGTATTTGCCTATATATACAGCCCCACAGGTAAAGACGACTTGTCAGAAATTATAATTGAACTAATCAATAAATCGCACGGCGTTTAACAGAAGGATATATCATCGGTGTTTAAAACTTATTTTGAAAATATTATTCATATCTCCAGTACAATGTGCGCTAACCAGTTTTATCAGTAATTCAGCTAGCAATTCTCGTGCTTTGTTCAAAAAGATGTTTACAGTGAGGGTCGAACTTAGAAAAAACGAACTATGGAATTTGCCCCTCGCCTTCAACCACGCCACGACATAGCCCACGATTCCCTTCGTCCCACCTCACCCCGTCCCCATCCCGACCGTCCCCACCCCAGCACCGTCCCCATACTCACGGTGACTATAAATACCCATACTCACGTCTGGCCGGGCTGGGCGCGGATCTCCGAGTACCACTTGATCTTGGGCTCTGTGCCGCTGGTGCGCAGCGTGAGTACCGCCTGCGGCTCGGAGAACGTAAAGGTGATCATCTGACTGGAGGACGACACGGGCAGAATGGCGCGCCCGTCCGGCTGGCCAGAGTCGTGGCCCGTGGTCAGGTCACGCACGGCGCCAATCCGGTACTGGCCGCCGCCCAGGGACGTCGGGTACTGCCGGGAGAAAGAGAAATAGGGGGTGAGAATGGTGGAGACGTGGGGCAGAATGATCAGAAACGGACGCGCAACTCATATCGTAGTTTAGTTTAGTTCATTGATTTCATCACCGACGCGGCCCCATTTTAGGAAGAAGTCCAAGTGTACAACACATCTCACAGATAGATACGCTGAGGTAAAACCAGTTGCGACAGCTCACACACTCAGGAGCACCGAAAAATAATGAAATTAAACCGTCCATAACCAATGAAACTAAAACCCCTCAGGCGGAGGCCCGTTCTTGGGGAGTTCGCCGCAAGAGGCGCCCATTGGCGCGCCGCAGCTGCGCCGTGCCGACCGTTGATAGTGGCCGCCGGCACTCGGCGCACACCGGAACGAGGATGGGTGCCGCTCAGCGCCCGGGCGTCGGGTACTTCCACCGCGAGAGGGAGTACTCGGGCAGCAGCGGGCCTTTTACGAGCTCTTTTACCAGTAACCGAGGCTGGGCGCAGCTGAGCCGAGGTCGCTGGACTCGCGGAACGACCGACCGATGGCGGGGCGCTGGGAGCCGAGCGAGCCCGACCACTGCTGACGTCCCATGCCGATTTGCCACGCACACCGTATGGCGTGAAGCGATTCAGCACGGAAGGACGGGTCGCGACACGAGAGCCCTGCCCATGGACAGAGGCGGAACGTCGACAGAGGACACTGGACAGGAGCGAGCAGAAAAAGGCAGAATTCGATGAGTTGGCTATTTCAGTTTACAGCGAATAGAAGCAATTATTAATGAAGATCATTCCAAGAGGCAAGAATCACCGTAATCTTAATATCATAGTCTAAAAATTAATGGCATTGCCGGGAACCATTCATTAATCATGCCTACAAAGCAGGACAACAGTTAGACTATTAGTAATCTCACAATCAAATCGAATTATCTCGATAGGGTCCATTCTTCAATCTTCATGTATAAGCGGCTCCAAATTGTGACAGGTGACGCTGCCTCTCTAAATCACATAACTTGTATTATATTTTGTCATTGAAAAAGAAAAAAATACCTAAATAAATCGACTATAATAACTATATAATTGAAATTCCCACTTCTGTAACGGAGTTAGCCGAGCTAAGGATTTGCCGCAGTTTGAGAACCAAGCCGCTACTGGTTTTTAGACACATCGTAAGTGCGCTTCGCTAAGCCAGATGACGCACAGTAGTATAAAACTGTGCTGTCATACATGGTACTCTACCATGACTTGCGAGTAGTATACGGAATCTACGCCTCATATGATGATACGCAGCTTTTTGGCCAAAACCATCAATTACACGACACGGCGCGGCTATCTCTCTGAATACCTTCACCAATCAAAACCTGACATCAACTCTGATTGCGTGTAATACGTGGGTTCTAGTGCCCGGAGGCGGCGGATCCATACGTTTAAGCCTGCCTGGATGAAGGACTGGCGCCGGTGGAACACTCGGCACGATGACACGGCAGAGGTGACCGACCGACCAGCGCGACGGGACGGTGTTTAACGGTGCTGGCCGGGAAGAGGCCCAAACACACCATGCAACTGCACAAATAGCCTCACGAGAAGGGGACAAGGAGTAGTGCAATGTGTAGACGATCCAGCCAGGGCGCATCCCCGGCTGCCTTTGGTAATGGAGCCTCTGTTTCGGCTAATCGATCGCGAAACCTTCAGACTCCTCAGACACGCATAGCTGTAAACCACGTAGCGATATGTAGGCAGAAACGAAGAAAGATGCTGTATGAAGGGCGAACGGTGCTTCCACAGTCATGCACCTTTCACACAGTCAACAATCAACATCCGCGAGCAGCCGACCTTAATGATTAAACATTAAGCAATGACCACTCAAATCACGGTGTCCGTATTTACCACCAGTGCACTGGCGCAGGCGCGGATACAAGGGGGGGGGGGCCATGGGGGCCATGGCCCCCCCCCCTTGGCCGATTTTTTTTCTCAAAAATAAAATAAAAAGTTAAAAAGTTAAAAAGCTGAAAAGGGGGCCTCCTGAAAATAAAGTGGCCGAAATCCGATGAGTTTTTTTTTAACCTACCCACTTAGTTATTTCTTAGAAGACTAGCTGAGAAGACTTCTTTGTTAGAAGATTGGTAAAGCTTTTCATAACTTGGAGGTCTCTTATACTCACAGAGATGACCACTTTTACAGGGCCTCCTAACCTGCACAGAGGGCCTCCAAGCCTGCACAGATGTTGAGATGTTGCCTGAACAGCTAGATAAGCTCAATAGACGCAGTTTTTTTTTGGGGGGGGGGGGCCAACAAGTGGGAAGATGGGGCCTCCAACAGGTGGGATTATGGGGGGGGGGCCTCCTGGTTTCTAATGGCCCCTCCCTTGGAGATTTTCTGGATCCGCCCCTGCACTGGCGTGAATTTCCTATGATGACGAAGCAAATCATACGCTGGATATAAATGGTAGCTCACGCCGCCGTTTAGCTAAACACGCCAAAGAACGTGTGAAATATTGCCAAGCTGGAAATGACAGCGTGAGAGCGGGACCAACTGCGAGAAAAGCGAGCTTGACGAGTCACTTCTGACGCTTCTGTTACTACTGCACCGGGATTGGAGATCAGCTCCGCCCGATTTTAACCCGATCAACCACCCAGGTACGGCTTTGGGCCTCTAGCTACTTAGCTAGATGATCACATACATAGGTAGGTAAAACCGCCAGTAGGCCGGCTCGGCTGAGATGAATGGAGCGAGGTGATCTCGGCTTTGGGAGTTTGAGTAGTAGAGTCAGCCGTTAAACACGCGATATTCGGTTCTTATTGTCACTGAACCATGGAACCGATGGGCGATAATCCAATTAGCAGTCAGGTCAGGGAGGAAAGAAGGATGCATTGTTTTGGGTGCATATGCTTCACAAAAGATTGTAAAATGTTCCTTAGCATCAAGGAAACGCTACGGTTGCGAGGGTTGCAGTAAGATTCGTACAGGCTCCAACAGGAGCCCTCGGACGTCACAAACCAATTATTCCCTAAAAAAAAAAAAATATGGGAGCGCGCAAAAACCCGTACTTGCCTATACGTCATCTCAGCGAAGCTCTATCACACGAGAAGCCGCATTTTCGCGGAGTTATTGCAGATGCACACGCGCGAGAAATCCCTGACAGTCGCACATATCTCAATGGTGCTGTTCTGCAAGGTCGCATGCAGCCCGCGGTCTTGAGCGGACCCAGAGACCGACCCGTCATAGAGCAACAGCCGCTCTCTACGACCCTCGGCCGGGCGTCCACAAATCATCTGGACTAGAGTTGCAAAGTTTCCCTACCGCACTACCGGCATGCCGGTAAATTTTCACTACCGCAGGTTTTTTCGTGGTATCTGGCATGTCTTGCCGGTAGCATGCCGGTATTTTTGATTTTGCACAAAAATAGAAAATATCAGCAGATGGTTTAAACTTTAAGCACTAAGAGGCTATCAAATTATAATAACAGCAATATTAGCCACTGCAAAATACATTTTGTGGTAGAAGTTACATTGCTAAGGGTAGGCATACCTAACACATGGACCTCAGCGATTCACAGGTTTCGTTATAATTAGGATTGTCAAGAATCTACTGTGGTCAATAAATGGAAGAATACTCATTCATGCTGCAAAAGCTCGATCAATCAGTAAGTCTAATGGTATGTAATAGGTAAAATACAACAAAGTAAATAAATGTTCATGACAACGTTCCCTAGGGGAAAAGGCAGAATCAAAACACCACAAAACACATTGTTTGGAAACTGGCCTAGAGTCCTGAGATGTGGTCTGAGATACTCTACAAAGTATTTGACACTGAAAATCCAGCTGAAAAGGCTGGTATTAGGTAGCCCTGAGCCTGACTTTGGTCCCAAAAATGAAATGAAAATCAAATAAACTGGCATTTTGTCTCATCTTTACAAGAAAACACAATATGCATACAAAATAAACAAAGTGGCGCAGAATGGGAACCAAGGATTGACTTTTTAGATCTTCTCTCCCCTAATGGAAGGATGTAAGATGATGACGTAATATTCATTCGTATGCCTTTTTGGTTTAATTCCTGAAAGGAAATGAATTTTCTTGTAGTGAATTAAACTCTCAATGTTGATCACATCAGAATTAAATATCGTTTTGGATCATTTACATCAACAAATCATTTATGAGGCAGTTTGCTATAGTTCAGAAACTTTTTTTTGCAGCAATTTAATCAGCTGGTTAAAAGCCTCTGTTATTATGGCGCATCTGTTTCGAAATCTTTCATAGTTGATAACCTTGTGTTTGGAGAGGAAGATTCTTCGAGAAAGCGGGTATTATATCGTTTTTATGCATACTATTTGGTGACTGTTCTCAGGACAAGTGAGTTTTTCACATTTTTCAAATGATTCGTATCTTATTCATGAGCCAGCAAGCCATGGCGAAAAGGAAAAAAGGTGTTGATCTCGCTTCCTCAGGCACATGGCCAAATCTGTAGGTACTTTTTATGTTGTGACCATCTAGATTTCAAAAATTTGATTTTGGTTGGTAGGTTCCTGCAAAATTTTAGGAGAATGTGGAATAGTAGAACACCTCTGAAATGTTAATGTGATTACTGCTAACTTGAACTGTCCAGTCTTCAGAAACAATTCAGTACTTTAAGTTCTTTTTGTCATTGCTTTTTTATGCTTTTTCTTACTGCTTTTTTTTGCAGGCAATACCTCTTTGATTACAGGTGATATTTTAACAGTTATAGACTGGAACTGAGTTTCAAAATTGTGGGTATTTGTGGGGCCAACTGAGCCAAAATCAGCCTGCTCGTAGTTGGGGTTGGACATTGGGTGGCTGCTGGGTGGGATCTGGGATGGGTACTGAAATTGCCAAAGTGTGGCATCTCTTGTAGGGGTAAGCTAGAATCAACATTGCAGGTTTTTTTTTAGTATGCCGGTAATCTGGTGGTGTTTTTGCTCGGGTCGTGGTAGCATGCCGGTATCCCAGAAAATTTTTGTGGGGCGGGGCGGTGCCGGTAGCAGCCTTTGGGGGA